TATATATATATGTGTGTATGTGGAACTGGGGCATCGAGCGTCGGGAAGGATGGCGCTGGCGAAGAACCTAAAGATGCCCGGGGCGTCGGCCACGCCGCGCAGCAGAAGTGGCCCCCAGCCCACGCGAACCGCCTCGAACGCGCCTGTCGCCGACCCGTGAGCCGCCCCGAAAAGGCCGCGCGAGCCAGCCCCATCACGCAGTGCGCTCGGGCGCCTGCGGGCGAGAGCTTTTTAGACCAGGGGTCAACCGTCTGGCCCAGCGGGCAGCCTGGCGCTCCAGCTTTCGCCGGGGAACCCCATCGCGGCGGCGCCCGAATTCGCCGCGGTTCCTGGAGTGATCCGCCGCGCAGAGGGCGCGCTCCTGACGCTGGCAATCGTTTACGCTGTCGCAAAGGGAGCGGCCACGATCATAACCGCGAAGGGAAACGACAGCACAGGCAACGACGAGGTGTTCAGCAGGTACAGGACAGGCGGCGATGAGGCGCGCGGCAGCGCGGGTGTCGTGGCGCCACAACGCGCGTGCTATCGATTATCGAACGTACACGTGAGCACCGCCGGCTGCTTCTGGGGGCCATCCTTCATAGCAGTCTGGGCCCGAGCGGGCGATCCTTGGCGGCTGCGCCAGCATCGCGCGCGAGACGCTGGATGCCCTTCCTTCTCCGCGTCAGCAGCAGGCAACCGATGAGTTCCATTCGCCTCGGTCACGTTGCCGCGGAAATTTGCAGATCACAAACTGTCTCTGAACATCGGCCTGGCGGGGCGAGGCGCGCGCATCGACGCGGCGTGATGCTAAGATCCTTGATCGGAGAGCCGCGGGCCTTCATGGGCGATCCGTAACTTGACACCGGGAAACGCCATTTGCGATGCACGGCCAGCGATCAAAACGCGACCGACGTGAGAGAGGTGTCTGCGGTGCGCGTCGCAACGCGCGGGCCAATCCCCCGCGGCGTCAATCGCGCCATTGCGCAGGCGCCGCCGCCGCGCCAGAAGACGCTGCCCCCCGACATCAATGACATGGAGGGGCGGAATGCCATTCGCTGAAGCGGGGCGATGGGGGGAGGAAGAGCTGCCAGGAGCAGCCAAAGAATAGGATGCCCGCAGAGCATCAAATCATGAGTGGCTTCATTATCTGGTACGGCTGCGCCCCTGCGTCTGTAAAATGATTTCATCGACTTGAAGACTCGCGCTGCCGAGAGGTCATGATCGCGCGCGAATGGCAAGAGAACCCAGAATCGACTCGATGGGTCGGATCGGCGATCGACATGAACCGGATTGGCGGACAACGGGGGCCTTGTCGGGAAAAGTCGAATAGGCGGAAATCGGCAGACTCGCATGCGTCCATGAAGAAATGGGTACCTGGATCGGAATCCCCCGTCGAATCGGATCGGAATCAGAGGCCATCGAACTCGGATCGAAACGAATCGAAGGATTCGAAGCGAGTCCTGGAAGGGTGCGCGAGCGCTGCGAGGAGGGAACAGGGGAGCTGAGTCCACGGGCCCCGGGTTCAAAGAATGACCAGCAAGCGGCGCCGATGGTCTTCCCGGAGTAGCGTTGGCGCTACTCGCACAGAAACGTAGCTCGGCTCACCGACGCTCGCAACTCCGACCGAGCGACCTGCGAGCGCCCCAGCAGATGACGCGAAAGCCAGCCCGCGCTTCCCGCTCCCACGGCCCCCAAGGAGCCCTGGAAATGCTTGGGGGGCCACTGCGTCGGCGCGAGCTGGTCGGTGGCTGCGCGCAACTGCTTCGATATCATCTCTCTCGATGCCATTTTCTCCGCGGGGAGGAAGTTCCATTTGACTTTGGATGCCTCGTCGAGCGCGCTGGCGATGACCTCGCAGCGCGGGGCGGGGGCGCATGATTTTCTAGCGCCCTCCGCGGCAGCGCCACGGTTGTTGCTCTCCTGTACCTGCGCCCCTCCTCTGACCAATATCGGATTGTAGCCGGTCGACGCGAACGTGCTACGCGAGGCGTTTGTCTGTAGACGCCCATGCGAACTCACGCCACCCTGTCGATGCAGGAACATGCTGAATGAGTTGTGCTGCTCTGGTGGGGCATCCGCCTCGTTCACAAGAGCGCGCCCAACTACCCCGTGAGAGAGACCGACACGCAGCGGCAGGAGCCCACGGCTCCACCAAGCACATCGAGAAGGCACGCGGGTCGATCTTCGGGCCGCGTCGGCCAGGTCGCCGACGCGGAGGGGATTTGAACGTCGGCATGAACCAAGACAGACAGAATTGCACGCAGGATGCTCCGCAGTTGCTGTTGTCTTGGTCTGTGCGTCCTCTCTGCTGAAGATCACGCATCTCACCGCTACTTCTGTCAATTCGCTGGGCGGCGCGCCCTTGCTCGGATATGAGCTGTCTGCGAAACCCGGCACAAACCTGACCCCGACCCAGTGGCCTGCGAGCGCCCCAGCAAACGACACGAAAGCCAGCCAGCGCTTCCCGCTCCCAGGGCCCCCAGGGAGCTCTGGAAATGCTTGGCGGACCATTGTGTCTGCGTGGGCTGGTCGGTGGCTGCGTGCAACTGCTTCAATATCATCTCTCGAAAAAATTGCGTTCCGCGGGGATGATGTTCCATTTGAGATCGGACGGCTCGTCCAGCGCGCCGGCGATGACCTCGCAGCGCGGGGCGAGAACACATGATTTTGCCAGCGCCCTCCGCGGCAGCACCACGGTTGCTGCTCTTACTCCTCTGACAGGATGCGATGCAACCTCTTTGCCTGCACTTCTCCGCTGACCAATATCGGATTATTGTCGGTCGACGCGAACGTGCTACGCGAGGCGTTTGTCTAAAGACGCGCATGCGAACTCACGCCAACCTGTTGATGCAGGAACATGCTGAATGAGTTGTGCTGCTCTGGCAGAGGCATCCGCCTTGATTCCAAGAGCGCGCAAATAGAATCTGCGCGCGGCGGCGCCACCAATGAGCTCGATTCGCGTGGGAGATATCGTCTGACCTTCCAGCCATCCAGCGAGAGAGAAAGAGAGAAACCGACGTGCAGCAGCAGGAGCCCACGGCTCCACCAACGAAATCGAGAAGGCATGCGGGTCGATCTTCGGGCCCGCGTCGGCCAGGTCGCCGACGCGGAGGGGAGTTTGAACGTCAGCATGAACCAGGACATACAGAATTGCATGCATGATGCTCCACAGCTGGTGCTGTCTTGGTCTGTGCGTCCTGGATCACGCATTTCAATGTTATTTCTGTCAATTCGCTGAGCAGTGCGCGTTTGCTCGGTAATGAGCTGTCTGCGAAACCATGCGAAGCCCTGTCAAGCTGAGAAGCCGCAGAAATACCCAAAACCAGACTGATAGTGGCCCAGAGACCCTCTGAAGCATCACCCGGAGACTCCCGATGACGCTTCTCCATCGCCACCATCTCTGAATGGCAAACCCAAGGACCTTTCGCTTGCAGGGAGTATTCGTCGGCACGAGGAACAGGAAGGCCACGACGGGAACGCAAGGGACGCCAACGCTATAGATCCCTTCCATGCGAGCGCAGCCAGACTGTCCAATGTGTGATCTGATCGAAGGCTACCCCCATGCACTGCGTTATGACGGCGCCGCGAAATTTCACCATCAGGGAAATTAGGCACATCAACGCTGCCTGCCAAAGCTGCCTTCTGCACAGCGTCACCACGACTATCCCGAGCACCTGGTTGAGGGGCTGCATCGCGTCTGCGTCTACCATCGTCACGTCAATGGGGTTGCATCGCGTCTACGTCCACCATTTTCACGGCGGACTCGAGGGTATCCTTCATCACGCTGGTCGCGTCCAGAGGAGATGTCGCCCAACTTCACGTCGAATGCGTCCCCTCTGCTTGTCACTGCGGTTATTGTTGTCATCTTCAATGTTGGACATGCCAGACTCGGCGAGTAGATCTGGAGCCCACTGTCAACACCCGTCAGAGTTGTGGTGATGCCACACTGACAACGGATAAAACAACAGCTAAACTTGAAACAGTGTTTGTGGTAAAACGTTCCAGGGGCGCGGGAAGTTGGAGTGGGAGCCAAACCCCACGCCAAAGGCCGATGATGAGCGCCAGGCTGAGAGGATTCCACTCGACTCCCCGAACAAATCATCATCTGGAGCCGAAGCGTCTACGCAGGAGGAGGAGGCGGAGGAGGAGGAGGAGGAGGAGGAGGAGGAGCAGGAGAAGGGGGAAGACGGAGAAGGAAAAGACGTCGAGGGGGGGGGAACGGGAGAGAAGTAGGAGGAGGAGGAGGAGGTCGGCCGGTCGCTGCATCGTGCCTCGGGTCGAGAGGAGATCAACCACAACTACACACATTCAATGATTCGACGACCTGCAGTGCGCGCTGAGTTCCACAATACAAGGCGAGCCCCCCTGGGAGCCACGAGTTGTCTTCGCTCTACTAACTGCGGCGAGATTCTAGAAATGTGAGTTGCTCTTTGAGGCTGAGTTTCGAACATCGTTCTACATCGGCGATGCTGCTGCTACTACGCTGCTGAGATCTGTTCTGCTGTACACAACGTTGTACACACACCCTGCTGACACTTTGCCCCCTTTCGAAGGAAAAGGGGGGAGACAACAACTCACATTGTCGAGGCGGGGAGGAGTCGAGCGAGATAGGGACGGATGCTGCTCATTCACCTGCCGGCTCCTGACGCTCGCTCCTGCGGTCGAGCACGGACTGCCGCTGCTCATACCCTCCTCCTGCCTCGCACCCGGAGGAGGAGGAGGAGGAGGAGGAGGAGGAGGAGGAGGAGGAGGAGGGGGAGGAGGAGGAGGAGGAGGGGAGGAGGAGGAGGGAGGAGGGAGGAGGAGGAGGAGGAGGAGGAGGAGGGAGGAGGAGGAGGAGGAGGAGGAGGAGGAGGAGGAGGAGAGGAGGGAGGAGGGAGGAGGAGGAGGAGGAGGAGGAGGAGGAGAGGAGGAATGATAATTCACCGACTCCTACGCACTGCTGGATGGGCCGACCTTTGGCCGTGGCCCACCCCTGTTGTCGAGGCCGTGCACGGCGCGGCGAGCGCCCTGCACCTTCACTTCGCCCCGCGCTGCTGCCTCCTGGCGAGCTCGGCGAAGGGGACCTCGCCGGCAAGGCTCGGAGGGCGCTCCGCGCACAGGACAGCCGCCAGAGGCAGCCCAGGCTGGCCGCAAGAGCCCCCGGATCTGCGCGTCACGACGGGAGCGACGACGGACGCTCTCGCCCTCCCCGCGGGCCCCTGGGGCGCTCGCGGATCCATCCTGCGAGGCGCCTCCGACGCTGTGATCTGCGGTACGCCTGATCCCAGGGAAGCCCTTGGGCGAGACGAAGACAGGATGAGGACAACGTCGGACCAAGATGGATCGGGAACCTCTGAGGCTCGGCGTTTGTGGGCACCCGGCTCCGCGGCCGTCTCAGAGCGTCCTGGAGCGCGAGCGTCTTGTCCTCATCCCAGCCCGAGGCCTGCCTGAACATGGCAGCATTCTGGCAGTCTCGGCACCTCCGCGCCACCTCCAGAGGCGCAGAGCGCCGCAGAGCGGGTGCTGCTGCTGTCGGGGCAGCCACGGGCCTCCCTTTGGGGCGAGGTGCGACGGCACGGCCCGGGCGGGAAAACATCGAGCTGGGATCGGCGATGCATCGCCGATAGAATGGCGATAGGCCCCCGAACGCGAATCCGCACGCTCCTCGGCGGGGGGGTGCTATCAGATATCATGCCCTCGTGGGCGACGAAGGGGCGATTGCGCGTCGGTGCGTCCCCTCTGAGCCTGTCCCCCGCCCCACGATGCCCCTGATGGGGCCCGGTGTGGCCAGCCTGGACTCTCTGTGGCGGCCCTGAGTGCACACCCCCAGAACTTGCCAAAGCCGGACCCCAGACGTCATGCTTTGTCACAATATCGAACCCCAAAGGTCTCGACCCGTTCCCCGGGACCAGCCTTCCGTGCGACTCCTTTCTTGCAGGTCCACGGGCCCGGCGAGGGCCCCCGAAGCCGACGACTGCCACCAAAACCTCTCGCCGTGATTCCGGCCGACGAGAGGACTCTCTGAGGTGAGTGGCTTGTGTGCACCTGTCCTAGCCTTGCCAGACCTCTAAGAGGCCTCCCACATGGGGTCCGAGGGGTCGGAGGATCGCACCGCCACGCCGACATCGCCGACGGGCGCCGTCGGCGTGGAGGAAATAGGTCTTTGTTCATATGGAGCCGCACCTGCGACGCACCGGCGATACGGCGCGACCATCCGACCCGCTCTGCTCCGACCCGGACCCCCGCAGGCCCAGACCTCTCCAGCGGCCTCCTTGTCTGCAAATTTCCCATTTCCGGCCCTCTCATGGCCTTGACGTGAGGCCCCTCCTTCCGTTGTCCTTCCTCCGTGAATGAAAGCTGTGCGCGGCCCGCTCAGCTTCGACCCCAAGAGGCTCGCTCTCGACCCGCGGATCAAACAAAAAGTGCAGATTTCCGCGGATCAAACAGAAAGTGCAGATTTCCCAGCCCTGCCAAACCTCGTCGTCCTCGCCCATGAGCGACGCCGTGAGGGGCCCCTTCAGGCTGAGCGCCGGCGCGGGCGGCGCGGCCGCCACCTCTGCGCGCGGGGGGGGGGGCAGGCGGGCCCGGCCCGCCCGGGGAGCCGAATTCCAGAGGCGCCGTCGGGCCTGGACGCCAGGCCTCGCGGATACGAGGCCTCCTGGATGGGGTCTACGGTCAAACCGTATCACAAGGATGCGCGGTGAGGATGCAAGGGCCTCGGATGCCCATGCCTTTTTTTTTCGAACGAGGTCGGACAGCGGAATCCACTGAGGATGGGCCGGAGGGGCAAGGATGCAAGGGTATTCTTGGGAAGGTTGCCCATCCTTGCTACACGGGTTGACTGTAGATGGGGTCGGCGGATCGCGCCGCATCGCCTATGCATCGCCGATACATCGGCGATGCAACGCCGATGCATTTTGCGATGCATCGGCGACGGCGACGATGCATCGGCGCCGTCGGCGTGGAGAGGATCGGGCTCCACATCGAGCCGCATCGCCGATGCATCGGCGATGCGGCGTGATCCCCCGACCCCATCTACTCCTGTCCCATCTAGGGATCCTCTCGGATATGGTACTGATACGAAGCGGGAATCTCAGCATGTCCCCAGATGTCCGAGGACATTCCGTCTTCAATCCCAATGTCCAAAATTTCGGCCTCCGAGGCCCATTGTCACACAAATAATATAGGGACATGTGTATGGGAAGCTGTTTCCCGTGGCCCAGGCAATCAGATAGTAGTAACGAAAAATGTGTTCAGGGAATGGTTTTCCGAGGCCAGGACTGGGGCACTGGCCTGGTCTGGGGCTGGAATCAGGGAACAGAACTGTTGCTGCGTGTCGCTGCTTGCCGCTCTCTCAAATCTATCGCTCTCACTCTCCCTGACTCTCTATATTTTTGTTTCGCTATCTCTCTCTCTCTCTCTCGCTCTCTGTGTGTCTCTCTCTCTCTCTCTATCTCTCTCCCTCTCTCTCGCTCGCCTTTTCTCGGGGTAACTGCCAGGGAGAAGCCGCGGTCATCAGCTAAAGCACGCAATTGATTGCGCCGAAACGTCTAGGACATTTTTTCACCCGTGCTGGCCATGATGTCCTGCCAATATGTCCCGAAGACAGCGGCAACAACATGCAAATGCTCATAGACACAGACACCCTCCGACGACCTGGACATGTACCTTCAGGGGGGGGACGGTAAATCAAGTCGGTCGCTCCCAGTGGTGATATATACACCGCCACCCTCCCCTGACGCCCAGGAACAATCAAGTGAAGGGTGTCCGCGTATTTTTTCGTGGCGAAGATATGAATGCATTCGGACCCAGGGGGAAGCGGATAAGCGAATAGCTCCATATCCACCGCCTGCCGAGAACCCCCGAAGACTGATCCCCCGGGCGGTGGCCGTGGAGAAACACCCGCCTCGGAAAAGAGGGCGCTGGCAAGTCCCAGCCCGAGACACGTGCGCAGCCCAGGGGGGGGAGGGGACGTGCCGAAATAGCTAGAGAAGGCCATGGAGCCAGGAGCAGATGCCGTGGCTCCGGCCGTGAGACGGTCGGGGACTTCTGGATAGCGTGTCGCGGCGGTGGCCCCGACCACACGCTATACCATGCGAGCGGATAGCGCGTCGCTCCGCTCCGCGGGGCGGGAGGCTCGCAACAAGCCGGGACGTTGACACTTGGGGGCCGGGAAGTGGGATATCGTGTCGCACCGAAGCGTGCTGGGCCAGAACTGCCAGAGCGACACGCTAGCCAACAAACCCTGACCGTATCCACCCTACCTGGACTTCGGCCGCCCGAAATGGGTACGGAAAATGCCCAACAACAAATGCTTTCCAAAACCGACAGCGGCCGCTGTTGGGCAAGCCCCTCTGTCTTCAAAAAACAACGTCCGCGGCGGCGCGAGCAGCAAGTCCTGTTCAAAATGAACAGGAACTGCTGTTTGGCATCGTACCCAGCCGTTCCGTGACCACTTCGATCGTCTCGACAGTCGGCACACCCCTCTTGGCCGCCCCCGGACAGCGCGGCCCCCTGGTGATCTGGACACCTCCCCCGGGGCCAGCCCTGCATCCTGGGACGTCTTGTGGACGACCTGCGGCCCAGTGAGGGCCCCCGGAGGCCGGAAATGGTCAAACCCCATGAGGTGACTTTGTTCGCATGGGAGGCAGAAGGACATAGACCCGCACGGAGGCGCCCGTCTAAACCTAACATACACAAAACGAACATATCAGGTCATGTCGTTGCCCAGGCAACATGGCCAGAAAATGTCCGCCACGGAGCATGTGCGATAATATGTCTGAGCGCGCACGTGCCCATGTTGGCAGACAAGAACAACCATCCTCACAATAAACGCCCCGGCGAGCGAAGCCGTCTCGTAAACACACCCAAAAAGGAAATTGAACAGGGCAGGGCTGCTTGGGAAACGCCCAGGGGCACTGCCTGAACGTCAGCGATGAGGGTCGGAGTGGTTTTCCTCCCCTGACATGAAGTGGGCCTGACGCACACACACTCAATATACGTATGCTTCGGTGATGCCGATTACGGTGGGGACTTTTGCTTAGCGTGCCGCGGCGGCGGCGCCGGCGACACTCCGCTTCGTGGGCTGGGAGGCTGGGAACAGCTCGGGGTGCTGACGCTCGGGGACTGGGGAAGGGGTAGCGTGCCGTGCCGGAGCGCAGCTGCCCAAGGCCGGCGACACCACCCGCCGCCCCGACCGTATAACTATGCAAGATCGCGCGCACCACGCTCGAATATGCCACCCGGACGTTGTGTACAGACCGCGGCGTCGTAGACGCGAGCAGGTGCACACACGAGAGGCAGTCTGAGCCACCCTCCGGGCGGGGCCGCAGAGGGCGCTCGCCTTGGAGCCCGCCGCCGCCGCCGCCCTCTTCTGCGGCGGCAGGGGCGGCGCCGGGGGTTTGCCGAGCGCAGCCTGCGGAGGGGGGGGGGGCGCGCGGCTCGCCCACGCGTGCTCGCGCCCGCGCGGGGAGGGTGGCCCTCTGGCAATCACCTCCTCCTCCTCCTACTACTCCTGCTCCTCCATCTCCTGCTCCTCCCCCTCCTCCTCCTGCACCTCCCCCTCCTCCTCCTGCTCCTCCTCCTGCTCCTCCTCCTGCTCCTCCTCCTGCTCCTCCTCCCCCTCCTCGTCCTCCATACCCTGTAAAAAAAAACCCCTGTCGCACCCCGAGGCCGGTCGGAAAGGTGGGCGGGGCGAGCGCGAGCGCGAGCGAGAGCGCGCGACCAACGGGTCCACAGACCCGCCCCTGGGCAGGGCGGCGCGGAACGGCCTCAGCCCTCAGTTTTGGTACTTAGTTCTTAATGTTGTCTGTCCAGCGCTTTCGCGGGCCGTCCGGCCTGCGCACGCAGCCAGCTGACTCCCAGTTGTACGGGACCTGCGCCCATGATGAACTGTCAGGTGGGCAAGGCGTTTCGCCTGAGACTTCCTCACCACTTATCTTCCTCAAGCTTGACATTTGCAACAGTTTGCAGACTGTGGTCGGATGGTTTTCAAAAAATGGCTCTCGCCTAAGCGCCGCGTGCATTCGTGCAAGGGCTTCACAGATTGATGGCGGGTGGTCTTCACGATGCGGCTCTCGCCTTAGCTCCGCGCGCAGTCGTTTCAGACATTTGCAAGACGTCCAAGGAGGGAGGGCGGGTGGTTTTCCAAATGTGGCTCTGGCCTTCGCGCCGCGCGCACTCGCCTACATAAGTTGCCAGATCTTGACGGTGGTTCTCCAAATGTGGCTCTCGCATTAGCGCCGCGCGCATTCGCTTTAAATCCGCCGACCCTGCCGGCGTGTGTGAGGGGTTTCTCCGTTCGACTCGTCGTCTCCGTCGTCTCCGCCCTCCCCCTCCCAGGGCTCTCCTCCTCAAGCGCGCTATCCAAAGCGAAATTAAACGACGTCGTAGTGGAGTCGAAGGGAAGCCCCTTCCCTTTGATCCCTTCCCCGCAGGGGGAGGGGGGGGGGGGCCGGGGCAGATACGACGCCCGCCGGGGCGCACTTTCCTCGAGCGGGCACGCACGGGATGCACTTCCTCCTCCTCCTGGTCCTCCTCCTCCTCCTTTTCCTCCTCCTCCTCCTCCTCCTCCTGTTCCTCCTCCTCCTCCTCCTCCTCCTCCTCCTCCTCCTCCCGCAGAGGCGTCCCGGGAGCGGGCCCCGAGTCAAAATACCACCCCCCTAGGGCGCATTTTCCTCGAGCGGGCACGCCCGAGATGCACTTCTTCCTCTTCCAGGAGCACGTCCCAAGTCAGAATATCACACTCCCGGGGCGCACTTTCTTCGAGCGGGCACACAAAGGATGCACTTCCTCCTCCTCCTCCTCCTCCTCCTGCTCCTCCTCCTCGTCCTCCTCCTCCTCCTCCTCCTCCTCATCCTCCGCTTCCTCCCCCCACTCCTAGCCCTTTCGATCAGGGTCGGCGGCACCGGCCGTCAAGCCTCTCCAATAATTGCAAAAGGTTCACGGAATCCCATGGCTAACGGGTCAGAGCTGGAGCTCTGGAACGATTCCAGATTTTCAGGGCGCAACAGTTGCATCGATTCGCGGCGTCCCAAGAATGGTGTCCTGGCACGCCTCAGGATCCTCCAACGGTTGTCTCCTAACGTGGCACTTCCATGAAAACATAATCGACCCACGAACCGGGAAAGGAATCTAGAAATGTAAGGCAAGACACCTGATTGGGCGACGGGCAAAAGCAATGCTGAATGTATCGATCTTGATGTACCGTGTCGAAGGCTATGCTGCTCTGCGCCGTGCTGAATTGCGATGTGCCATGCCGCGATTGTGCTCTATGGCGTTGTGGATCGAGTCCTCCTTTGCATCCGAGTCCTGACCAAACTGATTGGGATCTTAAGCTCGAACTGCATGAGCACGTAGTAGCTGCCCCAGAACCAATTGACAGGGGGACATGCCCGGAGGACGCGACACGGCACGTCCCAAGGGACACGCCAAGGGACGTGCCGTGGGACGTGCCATGGGGACGCCTCGCGGGACGTGCCAAGGGGACGCGCTACGGAACGTGCCAATGGACGTGCCACGGGACGTGCCAGGGGACGCATCGCGCGACGTGCCAAGGGGACTCGCCACGGGACCCGCGAAGGAACGTGCCAGTCAACGTGCCAGGCGACGCACTAGGGAACGCGCCAAGGGAACGTGCCAGGGAACGCACGAAGGACCGTGCCACGGGACGTCCCTGACCAAAGGCCAAGATCCTATAGTAAATCACGCTGCGTTCGCGCTCCCAGGGCCACGATTCACCGTAAATTGCCCTGCGTCCTCGCTCCCAGGGCCCCGATCCCCCTTGAATTATGCTGCGTCCGCTCTCCCTGGGCCACGATCCCTCGTAAACTACTCTGCGTCCGCGCTCCCAGGGCCGCGCTCCTCGGTGAAGTACGCTGTGCCCGCGCTCCCGGGACCACGTTCCCCCATAAGGTACGCTGCTTCCGCCCGCCCAGGGCCAGGATCCCTTGTGAATTACGCTGCGTCCGCGCTCCCAGGGCCGCGATCCAGTGGTCCGCGCTCCCAGGATTCCAGGGCCACGATCCATTGTACACTACGCCGCGTCCGTTCTCCCTGGGCGACGGTCGCTCGTAAACTACGCTGCGTCCACGCTCCCGGGGCCGCGGGGCCGCGCTCTCTCGTGAGTTGTGCTGCGTCCACTCTCCCTGGGCTGCGCTCCCTCGTGAATTACGCTGCGCCCCACAGGACCCGCTCGGCGCTCCTGGGCTGTGTTGAGGCCCCCGGGGCCGTCTGTGGCTGGGACACGTCGGAAAAGACAATACCACTAGCATCAGGCAGCATCTAAAGTACAGGTCAGCCAGCGTGGACTCCAAACAGTGAAGTATTGCACTGCGGAGGTGGGCACTGAGCGGAGTAAGCCATGTGGTACCCGCTATGGTGTAAAGGCTACGTGGTGCGAGCTACGTGGTGGAAGCTCGGCTGTGGGAGAGCTGTGGTGCAGGCAGTGCGACATCACCTCCAGCTGCGTGCTGCAAGCTGTGCGTTGTGAGCCATGCGGAGTGCACCCTCTCCTGCAGCTGCTGCCCCCCCCCCCGGGCGCGGGGCGCCCACGCGCGCGCCCACCAAAGAGCCCGCGCGGCGGGCACCAGCCGAAGCCTCGCCGAACTCCCCCGCGAGCGCCCGCGAGGCCCGCGAGGCGCCCGCGAGGCGCCCGCGGGCGGGCCCCAGGCGGAGCCTCGGCGGAGGAGGAGGAGGAGGAGGAGGAGGAGGAGGAGGAGGAGGAGGAGGAGAGGAGGAGGAGGAGGAGGAGGAGGAGGAGGAGGAGGAGGAGGAGGAGGAGGAGGAGGAGGAGGGGCGCCCACGAGCGCGCCCACGAGGCGCCCACGGGCGGGCACCGGGCGGAGCCGCGGCGGAGGCGGCACGGGGCGGCCACGAGCGCGCCCACGAGGAGCCCACGGGCGGGCGCACGTTCTCGAGACGGGTGCTTTTGATCAAGAGACGAGCGCGGTGGAGAACCGCCTCAAGCGACAGGGGTGGCACCGCGGAGGGCAGAAGAAGATGGAAGACATAGGAATCGAGGCCGTGCCCGACAGGCCTGGCCATACCTATCACACCCGCTGGAGGGTGGAAGAAGTTGTGCGCTGCCATCGGGGCTCTGCGGAGTATTCCTGGCAGCTCGAGGACGAGGTTCAGGGCTGCGGAGGCTTACGTCAAGCCGCTCTGGCTTTGGTGCGAGCCAGCATTCGAGGCCCGTCCGACGGACATTGCTTCCAAGTGGATGTCTGCCATATTTCGCACGCATTGTGCGCGGTGGTGCAGGGGCAGATTCTGGGCGCTGCATATCGGTCACCACCCCTTGCACTCGAGCCTCATGACGAGCATCCAGCGCCTGACTGACTGGGACCTCGAGATAAACCCTTGGACGGAGAACAACATCAAGAACCCTCTCAAGCAGGTGGGCCTGGTCTTCACATGTTGTTGTCCCGATCGCGGGGTACGTTTTGAGCAGGACCCCAATGCATGTAATGTGCGAATACAGAAGGTCGTTCAGGGTCGACGTGGATATTGGAGTGATGAGGGTGAGCTCCCACTCCATGTGTTGCTTGCTGTCTGTCGTGTACGTGCACTGCGGAAGGTGAGCCACACGCGCAGCGACTACGAGGGAATGCTGGACGTGGTCGTCGAGGCTCTCTCGGCGAAGCCATGGCAGAAACATCGCGAGTCTTTGTCCACGGAGCAGTGGCAGCAGGTGATGAGATTCATGTGCGGTGCTGTAAACTCACACACCAAAAGGGTCGAAGAGCGAGGAGCAGGATGTACCCTACTGTCCTGTGTGGTGGTGCTTTTCGGCCCTCAATGCGACATGTGGTCGCCGAGTGCGAAGGTGTCCTTCCTTTCCGCAAGCAACTCAGCGTTTTATACGGTGTCCTTGGAATTGTGGACCAGTCAGCCGTGTGTGTCGCGGTCCTCGGGCTGGATTACCGTTGGAGCGCATCGTGTCGCTGAACGACGGTGTGAACTTCGGGGCCCCGACTGCCCCAGAGATGACAGCAGGAACCCTCCAGCGGTATGTACGGCAACCTTCCAAGGTCTGCGACTCCCATTCAGCATGAACAAACCTGCTGCCGGTCTTCGTACCCATTCTTTCCGTACCCAGTTCGACCCTACGAATAAGAAGACAGTTCGTGGCCAGCGCAAACTCTGGCCACATGCCCAACTTCTCCAGCAAGCGCGAGGCGCCTTCCCGCTCGGCACTGCGCCAAGGCAAGCGACTCGCTCGCCCCCGTCATGTGTCGCTCTTTCTCTCTCTCTCTCTCTTTCTCTCTCTCTCTCTCTGCTTCTCTCACTATCTCTCTGTCTGTCTCTCCGTCTCTCTTTCTCTCCACATCTCCCTCCCTCCCTCTTTCTCTGTATGATCGAAACTCATATACAGATGCTCCCTACACTTGCTTGTAACTGACTGTATATCTACATATGTGTAAATATATATCGATGTTGCTCACACTATATCTCTCTCTCTCTCTGTGCCTCTGTGTGTGTCTCTCTCTCTCTCTCCCTCCCTCCCTCCCTCCCTCTCTCTCTCTGTATGCGTTAAGTTTGTGTATGTCCATGTGAATACAGATATGTGTGTGGTCATACACAGTATAGATACACCTATCTGTATATGATGTGCACAAGTGGCACACCCGTGCGCAAACTCATACAACAAACATTGCAACACATAAACATAACATAACATAACATAACATTGCAAAACCATGACTATGAAGCCGGATCCGAATAGAGTGAGGAGAAAGGAGTTGGAGAAGCAGATGGAAAAGGAGAGAGGAGAATAATGAAGACAACAAGGGAACTGTTTGGAAGGAGGTGCAGCCTGCAGCAGCGGGATCCGAGTAACAGTCGAACGCCTGTGGGGTTGCCAGACCTTGCGATGTGTGTGGCGCAGGAGGCCGTTCCACACCTTGCGCTTGCAATTGAAAAGAAGCTCCGAAACCACTTGCTGGAAGAGGTCTCGAGCGAAACTGTCGCTTTGAATTCGCCTGCCCAACGGGCCAGAGGCGTGCCCAAATCTCTAGCAAGAATTTAGGACTGTCTCTGAGTCGCGTGCGCGTGGCGTCCCCCAGGGGCCCCCGGACGAGAGGTAATTATCCCGGCAAGGTCGGATCAGAGATGCCGGCTGCCGGAACTCCCTGGCGCGGCCTCGGGGGCTCCTGGAGCGCCCCGGTGAGGAGACAAATAAGGGTGGCACGCCCTCCGGCGCCGCCAGGGGGGGCCCAGCGCGGATCCAAGAAATCTGAGCGGAGCGCCAAACATTTATGTTTATGGCGCTTTTCTTCTTCAAAATCTCCCGATGGCAGAAATCCGCACGTTCTTGGGCACGGCGGGCGATCGGGGCCCTCTCAGCGAGCTATGGGCGATGGCGGCCCGATGCCTTTCACCCTGAACTTGTCCCCTCCTAACGTGGCCTTTCGTTTCGGATCATGGCACGGTTCTTCGGCGGCCGTTCGGGACGATCTGGGCACTCCCAGAACGCTCTCGGCGAGGCGCAGCTGCCGGAGAGCATCCCAAGGCTGGAAAACCGCTGAGAACCGACGAAAACTTCAGGAAACCTCTAACCTCGAGCCCGAACCGTTCCCCCCCTGAGTGAGCCTATCCTACTCCTCGAAACCTGCGAGCGACGCTTCGCCCTCGCTGGCATCAGAAGCGGCGGCCCCGCCACAGAGCAGCGCTGACGCTCGGCAGGAAACCATAACAGACATGTGATGAACACGTGATTGTCTCCTGCTCCTCCTCCTCCCTCTCCTCCCTCCTGCTACTCCTCCTCCTCCTCCTCCTCCTCCTCCTCCTGCTTCCTTCTCCCGCCCCCCTCCGTCTCATTGCTCGTTCCTCCTCCTCCTCCTCCTCCTCCCGTCCCCCGTCCCACCTCCTCCTCCTCCTCCTCCTCCTCCTCCTCCTTCTCCAACGAGGCGACCTCTAACACGGACGCCGTGTTGGGCATGACCTGGACGGCCATCCGGCGATCATCCTCGTGGCAGGGAGGGGTTGGGCACCGGGGCTCTCCCCGCCCTGCCCTCCCCAGAGAAGTACAGTAGACACAAACGATACGAGAGCTTCACTATGAATGTTAGAACGCATTCTTCGGTGATTTTTGAAGGCTCCAGGGTCAGGAGGCAATTCCTGGGAAATGAGTGTCAGAACGCTTAAGGGCTAGTGCTCGTAATCCCGACTCAGGGACCATTGAGCTGGACCAAGCCAGATGAAGCCTGGGATGGAGCCAGATGAAGCGGGAGTAAGCTGGACCAAGCGGGATTGGGCCACATTCAGCAGGATTATTTAAGCCACCTCCCAGGAGTTGCATCCGAACTCAGGTGCCCCAGAGCTTATGCGGGCCCCTGTGGCCTGAGAAAAACATTCCGCGGGGGGCATACCGATTTCTAGTTTGATGTGCCTACTGTAGGGAGGGAGGGAGGGAGGGAGGGAGGGACGGAGCCTGGGAGCGAGGTTTCGAGGCAAGGATGGTGGCCTTCCTTGGCCCCCTCAGGGGGGGCCTCGTGGCCACGGCTGGACTCCGCTCGAACAAACCTGGCCTTGACTGACCCTGTGAGGGATCGGGCACCCCCGTGCTGGGCGGAGGCTGGTCGGCGGGGCCCGAGGGGCTGAGCTGAAGAGGAGGGGCAGAGGGATCCTCACAAGGGCTCGGAGGGGGCTCGGAAAGGCCTTTGAGACGCGGGAAGGCTCCTGCGAAGCCTTCGTGTGCCTTCCGTGCCCCTGGATCGAAGTCTTGCCAAGGGGAGCTCGCACATGGGGCGGGGGCCTCCTTCCTGCCGCAGCTGCGCGCACATCGGCGAGGGACGGCAGGCGAAAGACCCACGCAGGTGCCCAAGAACCCCTGGGTCCCCTGAAGAGCCAAAGTGGCCTCTGTACCCTGACGCATTGACTGTACGAGTGGCCTCGCGTCGCGCCGCGTGGGGGTCACGTGTGAGCCTGCACAGGACGGCCATCCCCCGTCGAGCAAAGACGCGGGCGTCAACGCGACAGAGGTAAGCAGCAGCGGAGGAAGGCACGGGAGGTCCTCGCGAGCGAGGGCATCTCCAGCACCGCAGCCTCGGCAGGAGACCGAAACATGTCACATTGCGAACGACGGCTTCTGGCTACCAAGTGTGCTCGTGACATTATAGCCTGGGACCGATGACAACGACGTTTAGAACACGTTGGCGCTTAGAACGAGCAACGAAACGAAACCGAACGTTTAAAACGAACGTTTCGAACGGAACAAGTACCAAACAATCACGGAAAACTTAACGAGGTATTCATCCAGCAAGAAAACAAAACGAACAACTAAACGAACTTCGAAGTGCACGCTAGAACAAAACGAACAACGAAACAAAGACATGTAACACTGGCTGGAGCCAGAGCAGCATGGGCTGGGTTAGGGGCCAGGGAAGAGGCGAGTAGCGAGGTTCTGGGTGGGGCTCAAACTAACCAAGGCGACGCAACAACACAAACGAAGCACGAAAAGAACAACACGCCAGGGCTGTGGCGATGGCAACAGGGCCGGGGCGAGGGCGATTGGCGAGGTCCCTGTTAAGGCTTGGGCGCGAACATGCGACCAACGAAACGAAGGACTAACTTCGGCGCCCTTCTAGTTTTCGGCGCCTTTTTGGTTTTTCGGTGCCCCTTTAGTTTTCGGCGCCCTTTTGTTTTTCGGCGCCCCGTCGGTTTTCGGCGACCTGTTGGTTTTCGGCGCCCCGTCGGTTTTCGGCGCCCCTTCGGTTTTCGGCGGCCTGTTGGCTTTTGGCACCCTTTTGGTTCTCGCCGCCCGTTTGGTCTCTGGCGCCCCTTTTAGTTTTCTGCGCCCTTTCGGTGTTCGGCACCCTTATGGTTTCTGCGCCCTTTTGGTGTTCGGCGCCCTTTTGGTTTTCGGCGCCCTTTTGGTTTGCGGCGTCCGTTCGGTTTCGGCGCCCCTTAGGTTTTCTGCGCCCCTTAGGTTTTCGGCGCCCTTTTGGTGTTCGGCCCGCCTCTGTTTTTCTGCACCCCTTTTGGTGTCGTTGTCTTTTTGGTGTTCGGCGCCCGTTTGGTTTTCGGCGCCCTTTTGGTGTTCGGCGTCCGTTCGGTTTCGGCGCCCCTTAGGTTTTCTGCGCCCCTTAGGTTTTCGGCGCCCTTTGCGTTTTCGGCACCCTTTTAATGTTCGGCCCGCCTGTGTTTTTCTGCACCCCATTTGGTGTCGCTGTCTTTTTGGTGTCCGGCGCTCTTTCGTTTTCGGCAGCCTTTTGATTTTCGCGGCGTCCGTTTCGTTGTCGGAGTCCTTTCGGTCTTCGGCGCCCCGTCGGTTTTCAGCGCCCTTCTGGCGGTCGGCGCTCTTTTGGTGTTCGGCGCCCCTTTGTTCGGCGCCCCTTCGGTTTTCGGCCGCCCGTTGAATGTGGGCGCCCCTTTGGTTTTCAGCGCCCCATCTTTGTTTTCGGCGCCCCTTTGATTGTCGGCGCCCTAATAGTCTTCGGCGCCCGTCGGTTTTCTGCGCCCGTTTGGTTTTCGACGTCCTTTCAGTTAGCGGCGCCCCTTTGGTGTTCGGCGCCTCTCCGATTTGCGGCGACCGCGTGGTTCTCGGCGCCCCGTTGGTTTCCAGAAACTGTTGGCGCCCCTTGGGTATTTTTCGGCGCCCCATCGGTTTTCTGCGCCCTTGGGCTTTCAGCGCCTGTTTGGTTGTCGGCGCCCTTTTGGTTGACGTTGCCTTTTTGGTTTTCGGCGCTCCTTCGGCGCCCTTTTGGTGTTCGTCGCCCTGTTGGTGTTCGGCGCCCCATTGGTTGTCAACACCATTTGTGGTGTTTGGCGCCGCTTTGGTCGTTGGCGCCCTTTTAGTTTTCGGCGCCCATTGATTTGCGGCGCCCCATTGGTTGTCTGTACCCTTTGGTGTGCATTGCCCGTTTGGTGTCCGCCGCCCAATTTGTTGTCGTTCCCCCTTTGGTTTTCGGCGCCAGTTTGGTGCTCGGCGTCCGTTTGGTTTTCGGCGCCAATCAGGCTGTCGGTGGCCTTTCGGTTTTCGGCGCCGCTTCGGCGCCATGTTTGTTTTAGGCGACCTTTTGGTTTTCGGCGCCCTATAAATGTTCGGCGTGTTTCTGGTGTTCGGCGCACCGTTTGTTTTCGGCGCCCTTTCTGTTGTCCGCGCCTTTTTTATGTGCGGCACCCTGTTGGTGTTTGGCGACCTGTCAGTTTTCTTCCTCGAACGTTCTGCACCGAAGACGAACAAGCACATCAAGAGCAAAACGAGCAACGAATCCAATTGTCAAGCATGAGCTTGCATTCCTACCAAGCGCAATCAAGAAATCACAAGACACCGACGGCGCGAAACCAAACGGACAACGAAACGAAACGCGCAATGAACGGATGAAACGAAACGAAAAACAAAACACAGTCTTGGAACCGCGGCAAAATAAAACGAACAGCAGATCGCGCGCCAATGAACACGTTTGACTTACCAACGCGTAAAACAACGAACAACACAATGGAACAAAACGAACAACGGAACGAACAACAAAACAAGGCCCATAATCAAGCTAAACAGCGTTGTGGACAGTCCCTGATTCTACTGCTCTATAGCCCCCCTTTGCAGCGATGGTGCTCAACGACACGCTGCAAAAAACATCTTCCAATGCCAAGTCAAGAATTCCCTGCACCCGCCCGCACATTTGCACCCTGGCCTTGCACCCCCTCTCCCCTGGTGTCGCCCTTGGCTCCACCCACCACCCGTGCTGTGTCCCGCAGCCCCTCCACCGTACCTTGCTCGCGCTCGCCCTTGCCTGGTTTGCAACGGCCTGCGAGCCTGTCCAATAGATATCTGGGATTTCGAGGCGAATCCAGCCGTGGCGACGAGGGCCTCCCAGGAAGCCCAAGAAGGCGCAGACGACGGAAAGGCAGCGGTATCGGTACCGCTTCCTCCTCTGAGGCTAGCCTTGCCGATGTTGTGCTTACGGACGTGGCTTGGAGAGCACAAACTACCGAGCAACCCCATGTCCTGAACCAGGCGCGATCCAGCATGGAAAGGGGCTGCTGCACGCGATCGGGCGGCAGCTGCAGCTGCAGCGGCCGCGGTTAGGGCGTCGAAACGGTCGCGGACATAATACAGCCCCGTGGCCGCTGGGGTCTTACCTGTTTCACCCCGCTGGGGGAACATAAAGGTACAGTAGGGGTTCGAGCACAAGAAACCTTCCACAAGAAACCCAACCCTGAACCCCCAGGACGTCCATTGACTCTTGGGGCGGGAATGCCCCGCTTCCCCTCGCAGAACGAGCGAAACCCCAGAAGCCCAGGGCACCCTGGAGGCAAGCAGGGTGCTCCTTGGCACGGGTCTCCACTGCACCGATGCCGCTGCTCCCCACGACCTCTCCCAGGGCGCGGTCTGAACAGGATCTCGAGGCGAACCTGGCCGCGGCGACGAGGGCCGCGTGGCGGCATCGGCACCTTCTCCTTCCCGGACCTGGGGGACCCGACTGGAGGCGTGTGCAGCGGCGGTGGCGGCGACGGCGATTGAGGGCAAAGCCTGGGGCGTCAGACAGCCTCCGTGGTAGCATTAAGTCGGGCATATAATCAAACAGATAGTCGCAAATATTCCAAACATACAAATAGATGTGTCCCGATACGATTTGTTTGTCTGTTCTTGACCGTTCTTCCTGAAGAGGGACATGCCCGACCTGATAGTAGCAGCACCGCAAGCTGGCGGCCTCGCGCCCCGCAGGGGCACCGCCTTGCCGCGCTCGAGCATCGTTTCACCGAGATCCCTGTCCCCATCGGCGAGGCCTTCTGGCTCCACTGGCCAATTCATCCCCTCCAGCTGGGTATATGTGCTGCTCCCTTGGGGTCGCGCGTGGCCTAGAGTCAGCCCGTATAGTAAGGATGCGCGATAAGGATATGCAAGGGGCCTGGAAGGCCATCTCGGAGCTTTCCCAGCGGGGCGCGGTCAACAAAAGCGGCCAAGGATGGACCGAGGAGGCAAGGATGCAAGGGTACCCTTGGGAAGGATGCCCAGTCTTGCCATGCGAATGGACTGTGTCCCCAACTTGGGGGGGGGGGGGGCCTGGTGGGGCAGAGGTACCGGGGCCAAGCGGGGACAGGGATCGGCTCGACGACATGGATCGCCGCCCCCACAGCTCGGGCACACTCGAAACGGGTAGGGAAGAGATGGGCACGACTGCCAACAACAAATGCCGTCCACAACCGACAGCGCTGCCGCGGTCGGGCAGAGGCAGCCTTCTGCCTCAGATGAACCACTTTCGCGGTGACCCCGGCAGCGAACCCTGCTCAAAATGAACAGGGCAGCCTGCCGCCCTTTGCGCTCATTCCTGAAGGGGCCCCAGGACACACAAGTAAATACACACAAATAAAAAGATACCCCATATTTTCCTATATTTATTGGGTTTTCGTCTTCCCCCCCACTTCCCATATTTTCCTATATTTTTTGGGGAATCGAAGATTCATTGTGTCTGTGTGTTTTCTCCCCTCCTGCATTCCCCCTCTGCCCACTTCGCTCGCCGCGAGCGCCCCTCGCTGCCGAGGCCCCGGCGGAGCAGCAGGGCGTTCGCCTCCTCGAGGCTCAGCACCGGCAGCCCTCGGCCCCAGGGCAGGCCTCATGGCGGCGCCACTGTCGGCGGCGCCGTCGTCGCCGTGGCCTCGTGGCCGTCGCCGTCGCGGCGGCGCCGTCGTCGCCGCCGCCGCCGCCACCGTCGCATGTCGACGCGGTCGCCGGTGTCGCTGCCGGCACGGGCCTCGGGGCCCCAGGCCTCCGACGCCTCGTGCCCTGTAACCTCAACTCCCGGCGCTGCACCTCGACTGTGCGCTCTCCGGTGCGAGAGGGCAGCGCTGTGTTAGGTCCGCGGGCGCAGGGGACGGCGAGGCGCCGGTCTAGGCGAGCGGTGGGACGCACCGGGAGCGAAGAAGGGCACGAGGCGAAAGAGCAGGAGGGCGAGGAGAGAAGGACGGGGCCCGGTCAGACCATGCAGGTCAACGCAATGAAAGAACAACACGCGCTCTATAGGGAGGAGGAATGGGGGAAGGGCAAAGCAACGAAAACGCCGCAGGTATAGGCGCGGGTTGTCGGACTTCGAGGGGTGCCCCCGTTTGAGCGGGGGCACCCATCCGACAGCACACACGCACACATGCACACACACACACACACTTTTGCGCCGGCGGCTAGGCAAAGGGACTGCGCTGGCGAGTAAAGCAAAACGGGCTGCGCTAGGCGAATTCAGCCACCATGCAGAGGAAGGGAGGAGAACAACCCGGGCGCCAGCCCAGGAGAGAGACGAAGGGGAGCCAGGCCCGCTCAGAGCAGCCCATGGGTGTGGCGGGGACGGCGCCAGGGAGCCAGCGGCGGCGGCGGCCGGGGGGCTGGAGGCAGCAGGGCTGATGATGCACACGTGAATATACGTACACCTTGGGGGGCGCATGGCGATGCTGGCTGGCAGCGCATGATGATCCGCCGACCTGGGGCGTGCGCCGGGGCGGTCTAGCACGACTCGGCACACAAAAAGAACGTCTCGGGGTCGAGGACGGACGGTTGAGGAGAGCCCTAACTTCGCGCCCCGCGCCCCGCGAGGCGTGTCGCGCGGTCACCTTCGCGCCATCGCCCTCCCGCCCCCCCCCCCCCAGAGGGAAAGGGCGGCCGCTCTGGAATGGATCGGGCCGGGCGCAGAGCGCGGCTGTCTTCGAGCGCCCGCGGGCGACCTCGAGGGGCAACGTCGGGGGGCGCGGCTCAGGGGCCGGGGGGAATCGGCCCGGGATCGGCGGGCGATGCATCGCCGGCAGATCGGAGATCGGCCTCCGATAGCGAATCCGCACGTGCCTGGGCGGGGTGGGCCCATCATCGGCCCCTGTCGTCGATAAATGGGCGGCCGGGGGTCGATGCGTCCACCTCTGAGCCTCTCCCCCCCCCCGTGAAGGATGCCTCTGGCAAGAACCCGACGACCGGGGAGGACAAACTCAGCCTTTCGACGCCGTGGCCTGCTCCATCCCAGCGCTCCTCCCCAGACACGTTCGGCCCTCGGGCCCCTGCAGCCGACCCGAGGCAGGCGTCGGGCCGGGCCCCGGGGCCGACGGAGGGGGGGGATGGACGATCGAGACGTGCCTTCGCCGCGGACGCTCGTCTGGGGCCTCCGCGGGGGCGCCCTCGCAGCAGGTGTGGCGCCGGTCGGGCGCTTGCTCTCGGGGGGGTGGTGCAGCAGGATTTCGGCCGAGAGACCTGCACAGGAAATTGGGCCTCCCTGAATGCAACCGTGGCATTTCGACGGGTTGGGAGGCTGGGAGCCCTCCGGTTCTGCTTGTACGCGCGGCAGGAATCCAAGCAACACAGGGCACCCTGGCGAAGAAGAAAAAAGACGTCTTGATGCGCGTCTCCACTGCACAGGGTGGGGGTGAACCGCGCACCCTTTCCAGCACCCTCGGAGCGCGCGGTGGCCGCACGGGGGGCCGGTCAGGGTCTCTTCAGGGCCTCTCTGCCGCAATCCCGGATCCCCCCTCATTGCCCCCCCACACCCCCCGCTGCCGAGCGCCCATGTCGAAACACCACCCTTGGAACCGCCCAGTGCCATTTTTGTGCGGCCAGGAGGCGCGCCAGCAAGTAAGTTTCGAGGGATGTACTTAAATTTGATCTGGGATTTCTCAAGGAAGCTGAAAAGAAGGCCAGGACGCACTGCTGATCGCGCGGCCATTCTGGAAGAGTCAATGGTCGGGCGTTGCTAGGAGTGCCCCTGGCCCAAGGTGCCCCCAGGATTTCCGAGGAGCCCCACGGCCTCCAGAGCGTCCCTCACGAGGCCCAAGGGGGCCCCAGGGGCTCCACAATGGAGCGAAACGCTGGGGGCACCTCAGGCCCAGGGGCACCTGTAGAAGCCCCCGACATGGGTGCAGAACCTCTGCAGCAGAGGATCGCGGGCGCACCGCGCGGGCAAAATATGCGCAGAAGCGCAGAAGCCACCCTGCGCACCGCCACCGACACCGTGCCAGGACGGGGCCGCCCGGGGCCCTGGCGTGGTGGTTTGTGCCCTCCTGGCCAAGGCCAGGAGGCTCTGTACACCATACTAGGGCCCAGGATGGCCCCGGCCAGGCTTGGTGGCGATGTGTGGATTTAGGGGCAACGCTAGGAGGAGACGAGGGAGGAACATCGATCTTAAATCAGCAATGCTAGAAGATGAAAAAACGGCATAAACATCAACTTCTGGCGCTGCGAATTTCTTGGATTTGCGCTGGACCCCCTCCCTGGCGCGCGGAGTCAGGACCCCGTAAACCCGGGACACCCAACATGCCTCGAAGCAATTTTTCCAGACGGCGGCACGAACAAAACACTGCACTGCAGAATTTCTACAACAAACCCAGACAAAAACCCTAACAACCCTGCGAGACCCCCCTTAACCCCGGACACAAACCCGAATCCGCCAATGCAAACAAAACATGCACGGGTGCTGAGAAATGTGACTTTGCAGGAAAGAATGTCGTTTCCTTGGTTTTCCGTGTCCTGGTTTATCTGTGTCCTGGTCTCCGGGGGCCTGGCGGAGCGCGCCGAGGGCGGCGCCGGAGGCGCCGCCGGGGGGGGGGGCGGGCCCAGCGCGGACCCAAGAAATCCGCGCGGAGCGCCAAAAGTTTATGCTTATGTCAAGTCGGGCCTGTCCCCCATACAGGGGGATTTTGGACGAAAAATAAAAACGACTCAACGCATCGCCAAAAGATGCCCAAAAATAACAGAAAAACAAAAAAAAGGTTCCCAGACTATTTTTTGACTAGTTTTGAATATCCCCCCTGTAGAGGGACATGCCCGACTTGGTGCTCCTGCCGTCTTGTCCTCTCCGAGGTGCCTCCCCGACGGGCCACCGACCGCGAGTCCGCCAAGGTCCTCTGGGCGGGCTGGGCGCCCGGGCCCCCCGTCGGCGAGGACTGCGGGCGTCTGGGGGGACCTCTCCCGGAGCGCGCCCGGACCAGCATCTCAGGGCGCATCCGCCCCTGGCGGCGAGTACCCACCGGCTGGAAGAAGTAGGTATAGGGGAACAAAAAGTAACATAAACATAAAAACTCTGAGGTCCGCGCGGATTTCTCGGATCGGCGCTGGGCCCCCCCGGCGGCGCCTCCGGCGCCGCCCCTGGCGCGCTCCGCGCGCCAGGGAGAGGGGTCCAGCGCCGATCCGAGAAATCCGTGCGGACCTCCGAGTTGTTATGTTTATGTCTCTTGTTGTTTCCCTATAGGTAGAAGCATGAAGTAGGAATGCGTTGAAAGCAGATTGGGTGTCCCCCCGCCCCCTGAAGTGGACGGAAGAGGGGAAGCCACTCGATCACTGTAGCAGGAAGGCGCTTAGAGTAGAGTGGAATCTGGGAAGCCCAAAATACCTACTTTCAACGACCGATGGGTACCTTTCCTCCCCTGCGACATCTCCTCCCAGACGTTGCCCCTGATGGCTGCCCCTTCTGCGGGTGAAACGCCCCAGAGTGCCGGCGCGGAAGGGCGCGGACGGCCAGTGCAGCGTGCCGCCGAGGACCGCCAGCCCCTGGCAGCCCTCTCGGGTGGCGGCCCAGGCGCTGCGAACCTATCGGGCTGGCCGACCACCCTCACGGCGGCGCAGACCAGCCGCCTGCTATCCGATCGGCGTCGTCGGCGGCCTCCATGACTCCGCACAGGGAGCTGCCCCCAGGCATGCCGTCGAATCCGCCCCCCGCGCCTGCAGCGGCAAGCGTGCCGGGCCCTCGCTCTCGTTGGCCGGCGTGGCTTCTCGTGGGGCAGGGGGGCTGGGTCTCCCCCCGGGCGCGTGGAGTCCAGCGCGCGCTCGCTCTAACGAGGACGGCGCCTGTGTGCACCGCACCGTGTCTGGGCTCCCTTCAGGCCCCGCCCCAGCGCAGTACGGCGCACAGTTCTTCAGCTCTGAGGGCCCGGAACTGTGCCTCGTACCATTCTCAAATCGAGGATCGACGACGCCGCGGGAGGCGCCATCGCGGCAGGGTACACACAAGTCGTCCGCGGACATGCTGTTGACCAAGTGCCTGCTCTGGCATGCCTTCCACAAGTATGTGTCAGCGTGGACCCCGATGATTGAGCTCTTCCACTCTCGATGCGCAATACTGGCGGCGCAAAGTGAATAAGCCACAATACATTTGTTGCAGCCAGTGTGAAAGCACTCTACGCGCCGCACTCTCCGACGTGGTGCAAGCCAAGTGGGGCAAGCTATGTTGTATATGCTGGGTGCGATAGGTGCGGTTCATGCTTAGCCATACTCTCTGTAGAGTGCGACCTATGTGGTGCAACCAATGTGGTGCAATACATCTGTTAGACAGATGATGTGTAACGGTGTGCGGTGCACTCAATGTCGTGCGAGCTTTGTGTTGAAAGCCATGTCGCGCAACCTGTGAGTTGCAAGCTATGCGGCGTAATCTGTGCTGCAAAGCTACGCTATACAAGCCGCACGCCATGTGTGCAATATCAGCACCGGCCAGCGCACGAAACACGGGGCGCCAACAAGGCGCCCACGGGCGGGCACTATGCGAGAAGACGGAGCACCCAGCAAGTGCGCGCGGCGCCCACGTGGTTTAGGGCAGGAAACGAATGAACATCCGGGGAACACAGCCAACGCACGAGGCACCCGCGAGGCGCTCACGTGCGGGCACCGGGCGAAAACCCCGAAAGTCCAGCCAACGCTCAGGGTGCCCACCTGGCGCCCACGGGCGGGTACCGGGCGAAACCCATGGAAAAGCAAAGCAACTTCGTAGGAGATCAGCCCTGTAGTGCAAGCACTGCCCAGGGAAATGAACACTGCGCCCAAATCACTGACATTCTGTCAAGTCGTTCCGTGGCATGCGCCACGAGGTTCCCTCCTGCGACCCCCTCGCTCTTTCAGGCGCCCGAACGAGCGCGGTGGCGGCTTCTGGCGGCAGCGGAGCTGGATGATGTGCCGACGCAGAACGAGTGAAGGTGCAACCAACGCACCGACACGCCGCTCGGCAAGTGGATGCACTGCTGCACGGGGCCCGAGTGACCGCGATTTCGGTATTCGGTGAATCCTTGACGAAGCATGATATTAAGCATTTGTTTGGCCAATATCTCACCCTTGGCTTGCAGGTCGGCGATGTCTCTCATGTACGAGCGAGGGATCGTCAGCACAGGTCTGATTTGGCACCCTTCTGCTGCGCGGCTGTTGTCGAATGTCACCGCCTCAGCGGTGCCAGCTCCACCGCAGCCAGGGTTGCCAGCGTACACGCAGAACTCTGCCTCGGGGCAGTCCTCGCATCCTGAATAAACAATGATGTCCGAGTCCATATTCACCGCGACAGCCTCGGAATCGAAATCGCTAGGGCTATCCGGAGTCGAATTGGAAGTCGAAGGCTGCGGCGCGAATCGGTAACCTCGCGTCCCTGAATCGCGGTCCGTGCTAGCGAAGTGCAACAACGCCATCGCCATGGCAGCTAACAGTGCCGTGACGCCGCAGACAACCGCGGCAAGGTGACGCTCGCAGGACGTTTTCCGAAGCGGCTGCTGCGGCGGCGGGTACGTTGGGTACGCGGCCACGGCAGCAGCAGGAAAAAAACCCTGCGTGATGCCCGGCGGCGACTTCGACATGGCTGCGTATTCGGCTTGCTGCCAGGGCCAGGTCATGCTATCCCTGTAGGAATCCTGGCCCCGCATCGCAACTAATGAGCGGCCCCCCGGAGCAATGCCCTGCCACTACTCAGTGCGCGTGTTAGCCTGAGCATGGGCCAAAAGAACTACAGCCGGGACCCGGACACTGCTCGACATAGGCCATTCGTGTAAAAGTGCCTAGCGATAACAAGCAGATGAGAACTCATGACGATAAACACTGTCGAATCACGACGAGACACACGCTAGAACGTACACTGTCACACCACAGGCTATAAGGGATGCGGGAGATAACGTCAGAAACGTGGGCATGCAAATGACTAGTCGAGAAACGCGTCGCAACCTCCGGCTACGAGCAACGTCCCGTACAAACTCCTGCGCCTGTCGGCCATACCATACAATCAAACTCGCCAACCTGGCGGTCCATCGGCATTTAAAAATTGCCACGACGGGTGCTAATGAGGTGTCCGGTTGATGTGATGGGAGTTCTCATGGGTCGCGCGAGCACGGGCCACACAGGGGGCCTTTAAGGACGCCGTGGCCCACAAAACCAATACTGACAAGACGACACGGACGTCTAACACGGACGCCGTGTCAGACGATATCGCCGGTACTGACAAAACTGCGACTCGAACTCGGCTGCTTCTTCGACTGCAACTCCTTCATCGGCCTCCCGCTCTACTCTCTCTTCTGAATGTTGTCCCGCGTGCCTGCCATCCAAAGGACTTGAACAACATCCGTGCATGCTAGCAATGTGGGAAAAGACATCCACTGCAGACACGTCATGCGTTTCATCGCCTGGGGTGTTCGCAGCGTCGCCGACACAGAGGGCAACCTGAAGCTTCAAAATATGAGAAAATACCAAGGTGACACCAAATGGCCCAAGTCTTCCTCCCAGCAAGATCCGAGATGTCTCAAAGCAGTCCCACTGAAACGTCGAAATAGAGCCCTCTGAAAGTACATAGGAATGTTGCTTGGCAATGCGTGTGGTTTGTTATCGGCGTCGTCCCAAAAAGGTCTAAGTATCAAACATCCCCATGGTGGCCTCATGAGGATCCCAAGCGACCCCGACGAGATCTGTAAGAGGTCCCAAGAAGGCCCTGTGTGCGTTCCAGGAGAGGTCTGGGTCGCAATCGTCTCAGCTGCCACGCAGGCGCGCACGAGCAAGGGTCTCTACCATGGGCCCACGCCCCCCTGGCAACCTCCTGAGACGATGCGCCTGAGCTCATGCGACCGAACCTGCGCACACACACACTCACACACACACACACTCTCACACACACACACACTCCAAACCACACACAATCTCGCTCCTCCGCAGCGTTGCACCAACACCTGACCACTTACTAGCGGGACGCCGCAGCAAACCTAGGGCGGCGAGGCTCGTGAACGTCCACCGCCCATGAGCCAGGCCCAGACTGGGCCCAAGAACGGTGTATACGTCCTCCTGGCTCGGCTGGGGAGGCACATGCACCGATCCCGGGCCCAGGATCGGCGTGGCCAGATGTCGTCGCGCTTGAATCGAGGTGTCTTCCCAGGCCAGAGGGGGGGGAACCACGCATACACAGTTTCAGCGGAGACCAGGCCAGCCAATGGCACGCGCGGCCAGACGTCCCCACGAGGCGGATGCCCCACACATAGATAGATAGATAGATAGACAGACAGACAGACAGACAGACAGACAGACAGACACACAGACAGACAGACAGACAGATAGATAGATAGATATATAGATACATAGATAAATACATGGGTATATCTATAATATATATATGTTATCGAAAGATACATATATACACATATATAGAAATATGGATACATATATATATATATACCGATTGATCGATGTATATATAAATGTATGTGTATATGGATATATAGATATATAGACAAATATATATATATATAGTTGTGTATATATACAGATATATAGATCGATATATAGATATATAGACAGCTAATACACATATATATATATAAATACATACATACATGCATGCATGCATGCATACATACATACATACACACACTCATACATACATACATGCATGCATGCATGCATATGCATACATACATACATGCACACATACACACACATAGACACGCATGCATATGTGTGTACACGTAGACGTACGCATACGATGTTGGGAATTATGCTGTCTATGTGCATCGTTATACATGTGTATATGTATAGGTGGAACATAACACACACAACACACCATGCTGGACCCTCGAACCCAGAATGGGGTATAGACATGTAAAGCATGGAAGCGTTTCGAGACACCTGGATTGGTCGATGGGCAGTAGGAATGATGACTATATCTATGGTGATGGCACCCTACCAGAAGCTGCACTGCGCTGTGCCGTGCTGCGAAATGCTGGACGAAACGAAACGCGCAGCAGCCCACGAAACGCCCTACGAAGCACCCCGCGACACACCCCAAGAAACACTCAACGAAGCACGCTAGGAAACGCTTGACGAAACACCCAACGAACAGCCACGAAACACCCTACGAATCACCAAACGAAACACCCCACGAAACACCCCCACGAAACACTCCACGAAACATCCCACGAACCACCCAACGAAATAGACGTGCCAACAATGCGCGCTGTCCTGCGCCGCGTTGTGCCGTGCTGCCGAACTCAAGTTCCGACTCAATTACGAAACGGGACTAACGGAGAGGGGGCGAATCCAAAGAAAGACGGAACGCACCGAGCAAGGACGGACCGAAACGCGGCACACCGAGACACGACGAACTGAGACAGGACGAACCGAAGCAGTACCAACCGAGACGAGGTCCAAAATCACGCTGCGCCCCCGCTCCAGCTGTCACGACCCCTCATAAAAATTCGCTGCGTCCGCATTCCTAGGGCCACGAACCTTAACAATTCACACTGCGCCCGTGCTCCAAGGGCCCCGATCCCTCATAGATTACACCGGGGTCGCGCTCCCAGGGCCCCGACCCCTCGTAAATTACGCTGCGCCCGCGATCCAAGGGCCACGATCCTAAGTCATTTACGCTGTGTCCGCGCTCACAAGGCCACGATCCTTCTGCAAATTACGCAGGGTCCGCGCTCCCACTGCCGCGATCCCTCGAAAAATGACACCGGGGTCGCGCTCCCAGGGCCCTCCTGGCGAAATTCCTGCAGAAACCAGCGAAGTAGTCGAGACGTCCTCGAACTTCCTTCGCGCGGGACGCGACACGCGCGAGACATCCTCAGAATTCCTGCGCGCGGGGCGCTTTTCCATGTCGCGGTCGGGGCTCCAGACCTCGTCATTTCTTGCGGACTCTGCTAAAAATGCCCCGCACCTTCTTTTGTTAAGAAGGAAAGCGGGGGTCCGCGGACCCCGTTATTTATCGAAGATCCGAGGTGGGGGGTCGACTTTCCTCGTGCGGGCACGCGCGAAACGCATTTTTCCCCGCCGAATTGGACTTTATCTAATTTTTTATTGAGCGGAAATCCGCCGGCCTCCTTCAAATCAAAACCGGGGGTAAACCAACTAAAAGAGAACCCTTCAGGGCGAAGCCCTTTACGGGAAAAAGCGCCAGGCTGCCATTACCGCGGGCCTGGAGGCGGGTGCGTAATGATGATCGATCGAGCACGTGCGAACACAGACAGGCACCATAGGCGCGCAGCGCTGCGCCCCTGCATGTGCGGCGGCTGGTTCTTCGGTACCTCGGATTGGCGGGGTGCGCGGAACGGGCTGGTCCGCCCGCCTGCGTCCCCGAGCGTGAGCAGAGGGCGTTTGAGCGACACTTCGTTTGCGAGCTCGTCTACGGCTGCAGTTACCGAGCTAGAAGATATCCAGGGGCTCGAGCTTCGTCGATCCCTTAACTTCCGAACATGTGTCAAGACTTCAGTCGGTCCCAGGGCCTTCGAGGAAGAAACAAATTCTGCGGGCGCCAGGTGGCAAGCCGGCCGATTTGGCGTGCTCATTGTAGCTCTACAGACAATACCCCCCACCCAACCCGCTTAGCCAACAAATTGTGCGAAAACCGTGCGGGCGGAGGGTGGTGTCCAAACGCGTTGAACGTGGATCGGCACGCTCGAACACCTGTGCCTTACAAACAAGGCCAGTCAGAATAACGGGATCCGAGGATGCATGGCGCCTAGGACGCACCAAGCTGCCAGGGTATGTGCACTTGGACAGAAGAAGCAGAACGCATGTAGACTATGCTCAAATCGAGGGAGGCAAGCGTGTCTTGCTTTAAAGACTCAGCCTTCGGCGTAAGTGCACGAACGAACTCTTCGGGTGTCACTCGCTCTCCTCCCAAAGGAGTCTCTCGCGCACGCGGCGCTTCCTGCTGCACCACGCTGCAGAAGTCACGAGTAGGAGAGCGAGCTTGAGGCCACGCGGGTCGGACGACCCCATCGGGGCGCTACTACTGGAGAGGTCCGAGGCCTCTGTGCCGAACGCAGGAGAGCAGCAAAGCGACGCGCGTGTCACTGACACGCCCGGCACCTCCCGAGCGAATCGCCCAGAAAAAATCCGGCAACTGCGCCCTCGGTGCGCTGGGAGCGGGTCAGAATACCGGGCGGTTGCCTGGCTGGACATCGGTAGGTCTCCTCCTCCTCCTCCCCCTCCTGCTCCTGCTCCTGCTCCTGCTCCTGCTCCTGCTCCTCCTCCTCCTCCTCCTCCTCCTCCTCCTCCTCCTCCTCCCCAACTACTAGCAGCATGTTTTGTTGACCTCGGCGGCGGGAACATTTCCTCCGTCCCCCACAGCGCCTGGGTCAGGGGCGGTCGGTTGCAGGTGCGCCTGGGTTTCATAAGGGTTGACCCTGTAGGTCTGCAGGGGCGATTCCTCCTCCAGTGGGTTCCTAAATCGGGTCCGAACAGATGGGGTCGGAAAGTCGCGCCGCATCGTCGATACAATCGCCGATTCGTGGGCGATGCACTGGCGACGCTGGCGCCCGACTAGGACACTTGGCGAATGCGGCCTCCTCCTCCCCAGACTCCCGCCTCCATGCTGGTTTCAACGAAAAAACGGCCCCCAGATGTCTCGACTCGTGATTGGACGGTCCAGGGGCCCAGCGAGGGCCTCCATTTGACCGAACCAAGAACAAAAAAACTGCTCGTCCCGATGTTTTCTGTTCTCGCGACGCGAGGGGGTCTGGTCCCCCTCACTCGTCCGACGGCCCGCGCGCGTCTACTCGGTCCTCCCACGCGTGCCTGGGGGGAGCGAAAGCTTCGACCCAGACATCCAGCGCTCCCATATCTTCGATGCGTAGACCCTTGGAGGTCTGGGCAATTTCCCCGTGGGGGCGTTTCATCTTAAATCGTGTGTTTGACGGTCACGGGGCCCGTTCCAAACAGCATGATGGACCCACGAACCCGGAAAGGGATATAGAACCGCATGCATGGAAACGTTTTCACGACACCGTCTTGGGCGACGGGCACTTCCACGAGACACCCCGCGAAACATTCCACGATTCACGGGCGACCGTTTTTTCAACGTTTTCCTGGAAACATTCCACGAGACACCCCACGAAACAGTCCACGAGACACCCCACGAAACATTCCACGACGACAGGCAACCACTCAACCAAGGCGGTGTGGTCGTGCTGGGGGGTGGTCGTGCTGGGGGGTGGTCGTGCTGGGGGGTGGTCGTGCTGGGGGGTGGTCGTGCTGGGGGGGTAGTCGTGCTGGGGGGTGGTCGTGCTGGAGCGTGGTCGTGCTGGGGCTTGGTCGTGCTGGGGCGTGGTCGGGATGGGGTGTGGTCGTGCTGTGGTGAGGTCGTGCTGGGGTGTGGTCGTGCTGGGTGATGGTCCTGCTGGGGTGGGTTCGTGCACCTGGAGAAGACAAATCTCTGGGGCGCCCAGATCCCTCAAGTTCTACAAAACAAGCGATTCGCTCGAGACATCCTCGGTAACTCTGCGGAGCAAACGCTTCGCTCGAGACATCCTCAACACACGAAAGAGTGGCCCGCACCCTGTGATTTATCGATCGGGATTTCAAAAACAAGCGTTTCGCCTGAGACGTCCTCAATTTTTAATCCGCCGGCCCACCTCGACCTCGATATTTATCAAGGAAAGAATCCGCCGGCCCACCTCAGTTGAGGCACTGGGGACAGGTTTACCACACTAAAAGAGAACCCTGGGCCTGCGCTCTTTCCAGGAAAAAACAACAACTGCCCGTCATGTGCGCGTGTGTGTGTATATATATATATATATTCTCATACGCACCTCTCCGAGGGAGTAGAGCTCAGAGGCGATTAATGCGCACGCGTCCGCGATTTGTCTGGGCGTTTCGCTTGGGACATCCTCGAAATTCTGAAAATCGGTGGCACCTCTCACGCAGATCGTGACGTCAGGGTCCAAAAACACATGGGAATTTCAACATTTTAACATCAAACCTTCAAAAACACATTGTAATTTCAATAATTGTGACCCCGATTCTCAGGGAATGGCGGTTTCGCTTGAAAAATCCTTCCAAAATCGAGCCCCAGACCCCGCCTCGGAGCCTCCTGGGGGCCTCCTGGAACCTCCTGGGGCCTCCTGGGGCTTTCTGAACCTTCTGGCACCCCAGACCCCGCCTCGGAGCCTCCTGGGGGTGTCCTGAAACCTCCTGGGGCCTCCTGGGGCCTCCTGCGGCCTCCTGGAGCCTCTTGGGGCCTCCTGAAGCCTCCTGGGGTCTCCTGGGGCCTCCTGAGGCCGCCTGGGGCCTCCTGGGGCCTCCTGGGGTTTCAGAACTACATGCACACAGATACACAAATCACGCCCAACACATCACAGGCTAGACAAACATAACACACACACACACACACACAACACCTACAACACACAAAAAGCACGCACCACACAAAGCATACACCACAAACACACACACACACACTCACACACGCACAACACTCACAATCCTGGGGCCTCCTGGAGCCTCTTCTGGTATCCAAGTCGGGCCTCCTGAGGCTTCCTGGGGGGCCCTGGTACACACATCGCAAGGTGTGGCAAGCCCACTTGCGCTCGAGTGCGACTTCGATGTTGCATTTCACTCCTGCTTCAAACGCCCCTTCAGTTTTTTGTATGAGCCTGGGCACACACGTGCCACTTGTATAACTAACTAGAACCACGCGCGCGCTACGCACGCTTAGGTTCTAGCCATAGCTGACCCAAGTTGTCCTCCACCGCTGCCAAAGTCAATGCCGCTGCAACTCCGAAGAGCCCCGCCGGGACTCCTTCGGGGGGCAGCCAGTCAAAAACGGCTAGCGCGGCGACCAGAGCAGAGCAGGCGGAGGGCAGGAGGGGAGGAGCACGATGAGTGCAGGAATGGGAGAAGGAGAAGGCGAATGGGAGAGTGAAGGGGGGGGAGGAGTAAGAGGAGAAGGAAGAGGAGGGAGAGCAGAGAGAGCAGTAGAAGGGGAGGAGTAGGGAAAGCAAAGAAGCGGGAGGCCAGCGTGGCGTGAGGCAAGCGCTCGAAGCAACGCCCGGCGCGCGCGTTGCAAGCGCTTCTGGCGCCAATCAGGGCCGCCCTATATTCGCGGGCTGGGTCTGGGCCCAAGACGTCTGAGGGTCATCTATGGCCGGGGCTAAGTCACCATGCAATTCAATAGTACCATGTCCCCCACACGTCAGAGACGGCGCCAGACATGGAGTCCAACCAGACGGTACTGTGCAAATGCATGACAAGTGAAGGTGCCGGCGTCGGTGAATTCAGGCGCGCGACCGCATGTACGATGCCGCGCGTAATCTGCCTGTGGGGACTCCTACCCGAAGCCCTTGGCCGCGGGAACGGACACAGAACCTTGCAGGCGAGGACCATCGTCAGCCAGGTCTTGAAGCTGATTGAGCATGCTAATCAATAATGCTTCGTCCCCCGCGCGCAAGACACGGATCCGGACTGGTGACTGCGGGGGCGTCATCGTGTCTATATCGCCGCACCTGCTCGGACTGTGACGACGCCAACCTGAATGTCTTGCCTTCAGGCGTGCCTGTCGGAGTTCTGGGGCGCTGTGGGGTGCCTATCAGGCGCCTCCTGGAGGGGACGCTGGGGGCTTCTTGGGGCCTTCTGGGGGCCTCCTGGGGGCACCTTGGGTCGGGCAGGTGGAACCGTGGGCTCGGGCTTCCTCTCTAGGGCTACTCTTGGCGCCGCCTGGACGCTCTCTCGGGTTGTCTTGTGCGCCTCTGGAGCGTTCTTGGGGCCGTCTTGGGGCCCTGTTGGACCGTCTGGGGGCTCTCTCGGGGGCTTCCTGGGGCGTCTTGGAGCAGCCTCGGAGGGCTCTTGGGCGGTGTTGATAGCATCGAACAACGCTCAGGCGCAAATGCTGGAACTGCACGGTTCCCCATGGGATTTTCACGATTCGGGCGCCTCGGAGGCTTCCGGGGAAGGTCCCGGGAAGTCTCGTGAGGATCTTGGAACGCTCTGGGACCGTCTGGGAGCCGCCTCTTGACCGATTAGGGGGCGTTTTCCTGTCCCGTGGAGCGTTCGGATGCGATTAAAGGCGCCTGAAGGCGGTTCTTCGAGCCTGGAGCGCGCTTGGAAGCGATCTGGGAGCGGTCTCGGAGCCCCTGTCCCCTATGCGCCGCCGGCGGGGTCCCTGGGCGCGGCCAGGGGGCCTCGTCCCCAGGGATATATATATATATATATATATATATATTGCGACGCGAACAGGTTTGGGTCCCCTTTCTCGCCCGACGGCCCTCACGCTTTACTCGCTCCTCCCTTGTGTGCCCGGGGGGGAAGAACAGAGCAGATGGGGTCAGAAGAACACGCCGCATCGCCGGTGGAACGCTGAGGCCTCCGCGACGTCGACGTGAAGACCCTCGGGCCCCCCATCGAGCCGCACCACCGATGCAGCGTGCATCGGCGAGGCGCCGCACTCCTCTGACCCCCCTTTTGCGGCGGGGCGAGGCCGCGCGGCCTCGCCGGGCGCGCTCCATCACCTGCACCACGACGAAGTCCTCCTGCCCGGTGCCTCGGGCCACGAGCTCCTTCATCTTCAACTCCGCTCCCCCGGGCTGTGCGGGCGCAGGCGGGCCGCGCCAAGGCGGCGCCGCGCCCAGGGGGGAAGTCAGGCGCGCCAGAGGGCCACGGGGCCCACGAGTGGCGAACACGTCCACGTCCGCGCCCTCGCGGTGTGGCTTCCAGGGCGCGATCCCGCGGATACGCGGGATCGCACGGAGGCGTCCCGCGCGGGGCAGCCGCAGAAAAAACGGCCCGTGTCCGCGGGGTCGCGGCACAAGGGCGTGTTCGCCCAGGAGGGGCCCACAAGGATGTGACGAGGTCGGCAACAGAAGATCGAACTCCGAAACCGAGGCAATTCACTGCCGACCGACCGGCCAGCGAAACCGGAACCGACAGACATCGAGACAGCCCAGAATGGTGCAGCGGCGCAACAGCGACACGACGCAACGCCGAGCCGACTGGACCTCGGACACCTCTGCGAGCGGCAACCCCTGTGGGCCGCGGGGCACGGAGAGGGGCCGCTGGACGAGGGAAGCACGGGCTACTGTTAGGTCGGGCCTGTCCACCAACAGGAGGCTTTTGGACGAAAAAATGTTTGAAAATACCCCCAAAATACTCCAAAAATATTCGAACATGGTCAAAAATCGTCCCCAGACTATTTTTGGACTATCTTTGAATACTCCTCCTGCAGAGGGACAGGCCCGACTTAAGGCTACCGGCAACCGACACCGATTCGCTGATCCCTGCCTCGCTCACCTCCAGATCGCGAAGATCAGCGTGCAGAAAACGGGTCCTGGGGGAAAGCGGTCCTGGACCCCAGGGCCTTCCCCTAACTAGGGGGCCACGTGCGAACCCTACCCCTACCCCCCACGATTTCTGAGGGGGAGGGTGGGGTTCACTTCGTTCTGGAGCTCCCGAGCGAAGTGAACCCCACCCTCCCCCTCAGAAATCGTGGGGGGTAGGGGTAGGGTTCGCACGTGGCCCCCTACTAACGCCCATCCTTCATCCCGAGTCGTTTTCTGACGGTGCCCGGACTTGCGGAGGGCGAGGCCCTTGGGACGCCCAAGGGCCGGCGAGAAACCTCGGGACCCGCGTCCAGCAGGACCCGCCGCCTTCACGGCGGGAGCGGCCAAGAGGGGGGGGTCCAAGAGGGGGGGGTGCAAATCATGACCGGCGGCATGTGCGCGGCCCAGCGGGGGGGCCAGGGACGTATTAAAACAAGAAGAGGCGCCATGAGATCTGGGGAGATATCATGGCCCACGCCATGATATCCACCCCCCCCAGTCATCACCCCCCTCTTTGCCGCCCCCGATTCACGGCGGGAGAGGCACGGGCAAACGGGCAGCTGGACAGATCGCTGAGCTCCACGTCGCACGCGAGGGATGCCGCAGGGTGGACACGCGAGGCCCACGAGCAACCGAGTCGGCCTTCGAGCCTCAGCCCCCGCCCACGAGGCCCATGCCGAGGGGGGACCTGAGTGTATTTTCGGGAGCACGTGTTAAACCAACATGCAATCGAACACATGGTCCATGTAAGACATCTGGGCCAGCTTCTCGGAAGTTTCTTGAAACAAGCCTGCGTGGGCCAATGTCTGTTGCTAGCGCTGGAGGAAGGGCGAACGCGCTCAAGAGACTGGGCCAGCTTTCCTGCACGTTGGTGAACACACGTTGGTGAACAAACGCTGGCAAAGCTTATCGGGCGGAGTCTTCTTTTCCACATGCTCGACTGTCGTCAGGCGTCGCGCATAACACTGCAACAGAGGCTGGGGGGAAAAGGCAGTCGACCAGAGACCTCTCTGTACACCGCAACAACCAGCATCACCCTTCTGGGCTTCACTGCGCGCGAATCGTGAACGTCAATGTCATTCCGCTGTCGCTTGTGTTATTTTTGTGCGGCTATGCCGACGTCCTGCACTCGACCTCCCTGAACATCATAACGTCCACCGTAGAACCTATCGCAATGCCAAGCTACGCTGTGGACTCGACCCAAAGGAGTTGTGCACGTGGTGGGCAAGTTTCACAGCGCAGATGTTCTTTGCAAACGCGCTGATATGCGTGCCATGATCCCGCGCACGTGCAACTGCCAAGCAAGAATGCCACGCCCACCTCCCAAACGCGTAACAACTCACGTTGAGGGTCGTCTGGCTCGGGCTGCGCGCCCACCATGCCTGCGGGCGCGCCACCAACACGTCCCCACTTCGAGGCCGGAGGCCCGACTGGATCGGCGCGACTAGGGGAACGATTTGGCCTGGAGTGAGCCGGAGCCTGATTTTGGAGCACCGGCGCATGGAAAACCCGATTGGGCAAGGAGAAAGGCTAGAAGGGGCCCAAAACAAAATGCGCCGCGCGCAATTTGGTGCCAAAAAACCAACGCCGTGGGTAGGGGGCTACTTGATGAACCCAGGAGAAGGATGGTTTGCCGGACATAAATTGAACGTCTGATTCCTGGCCATTTAAACATACTCAGGCAAGGAGGGGAAGATACCGTTTTGCCCACGTGGCCCGTACGGGCAACGAAGAGAAGGATGATGGGGACGACAGAGCGGCGGATGGCGAGGACGACGGCGTGGATGACGGGGAGGGCAGCGGGGGGGGGCAGGGGGCCAACGAGCCAGAACACAACCACAAGGATGAGGAGGAAGAGGTGGAGGAGGACGAGCACCACGAGGAGCGAAGCGGATGAAGAGGAGGAGGAGGACGACGACGACGACGAAGGAGGACGGCAAGGAACCCGAGGAGAAGGACGCCGAGAAGGGGGCTCCTCGTGATGTCTTGAAGCTGCCCTGGGGGCTGTTGGGGCCGTCTTGGGGCTGTCTTGGGGCTTGGGGCATCGTGGGGACCCGAGGCCGCCAGCCAGAACGCCGGCCAGGGTGCCGCAGGGACGTCGCCGTTGCCGCCACCACAGCCATCGTCCTCCTCCCCTCCTCCACTCCCTCCTCCACAGGCTCCCTCCTCCTCCTCCTCCGCCTCCTCCTCCTCCTCTTCCTCCTCCTCCTCCTTTTGGGAAGCCGCTGCTGGAAAACAGCGTCGTTCGGGCCTGGTTGCATCAGAGGGTTGACAAGTTACAAGTTGACCACATCAACGGGCGGGGGACTATTATCTCCTCCTCCTCCTCATCATAATCCGCGCACTGGGCCATGCTGCTTTGGCCGAGCTTGCCACATCGGAACGCCACTTCCGGACCGGACCGAGCCAAAAACAACATTCGCTGGCCCAACGGGCCAGGGCGTGCTCAGATCTCCGGTACCTGGTTAACAGTATTTCTAGTTCGCGCGCGCGGGGCGGCCCCTGGGGGTCCCCGGACGAAAAGTACCCCGGCAAGGTCCCGGCAAGTCCCCGGCAAGGTCCCGGCAAGGTCGGGCCAGAGATGCCGGAGTTCTGTTTCGGAGTCCAAGAGGGCTCCAGATCGGTCCAAGAGGGCCCCGAGAAGCTTTCTAGACGGTCCAAGAGAGGCCCGAGACGGCCAAAGATCGCCCGAAGACGCCCCAGATGGCCCCAAGACAGCCCAAGAGGCCTCCAAGACGCTCCAAGGGCCTTCCAAGAGGCCTCCGAAGAGGGCCCCAAGTTGCCAAAATCGTTGATTTTCATTGGTTTT